GCGTCGCATCATCTTTCCGCACATTAAACGTTCAGTTTATACCGGTTATGTAAAGCTCGATGTGTAGTCGTGTGTACCTACATTAATGAATGAAGATTAATAAGATAGCTACACAATTCAATTGTATTGCCTTAAAATAAAATATTTTTTTAGACTGAGAAAAATATTTCTTCTGTTCGATTATAGCACTTCTTCCTACCTAGATATTACTATTGTATATAAGTTCACACGATTTCATCATTTCTTTGTCTACTACACTTTTATTAGTTCTAAAACTAACAAATAAATTACGATACTTACATTTTTTTAAACTGTCAAACACCAAGCGGTCACCGGTGACCGCAACCTATTGTTCTATAATTGTGTCTACAAAACCGGTACTCGACGAGTTAAGGGGGGAAAATCATCGAATGACTTCTCCCGCCCGGGTGAGGCGATAGGGAGTGTCATACTCTTACTGACTAAAAACCACCCCGTTCCTACTCCTGCACTTCGAGCCGGAGCCCCGGCAACCCGTTAGGTTCTCCGCGGCAAATTACGATCCACTACAGGTTGATTTTACTATACTAATATTCAGTAACTAATAATTATAACGATAACATACAATACTAATTACTCATGAAAATACCTATTATGTAACAACAAAATTCTAAACAATGCCACAAGCGAAACAAGTAAAAGATCCCATAACAAACCAGCAATTGTTATAAACTATATCAGATATCAATTCAAAGGATTTCCCATATTATATATCAATAGTATTTTGGTTCCGAACTGCGAACTGTCTATGAGATAAACGGACCGACAATTGTTTGATACGAGTTCATAGTTCATCGTCGAACAATAGATACCTTCTTTCATAAGTAATTTGCCTTTATCGGGCGATTATAAATTATTTGCTTGTTTAAAGTACTCGTACCCAGTCTTTTGTTATATCTGTTAAGGAAATAGGTTAATTTTATAATACTCGTACCTACCTATTTGTTATGTGAATGTGTTGATATTAGTTCTTAGACTGCCTCGTTGGCCGAGTGGTCGCAAGTGTGATTCCCGGGACGGGCAAAGTATTACTGGGTTTTTATAAATTCTCAGTAGTAGCACGGAGTCTGGAATTGTGCCCGGTATATGGCAATAGGCTCACCCCCTATTACATGGGACTCATAACATAAATAGTGAAAAAGTGAGTGTTATAATGTACAGTGGCATAATGTTCGCCTCTGCCTACCACTTTGGGGACAAAAGGCGTGATGTTATGTTATGTAGTTTTTAGGGTGGTTGTCGATTGAAGACAAAAATGTCGGGTAAGTCAATCTTAAACCAGGGTGCATTAAAACTGGTCTTGCATTGAAATTGCATTGACATTCAGATTGGTTTCAAGAGTAAGCCCCCAGGTGGGGTTATTCTCAATTCTTCTTCATCGTGTCAAATCATGAACAAAACTTCAATCAAACTTAAGTCAGTTCGAATTAAAGACCTGTCAACTTCTTAAAGATATTCATAGTAACATTATTTCCCATACCTAGCAATAATTCAACATTTACGAACTCATAAAATAGCATTATCTATATCTAAATTTCTACTAAGAAACTAGATAAAGAAAAATTACATAAGTCAATTAATACTTCATATCTCCAAATTGTTCTTATCACCCAGACAGACGCGTATACAAAATTCATTGTTGGCATAATAACAGGGTCCAACCAGGGTTATCAATGTATTATTATCTACCGAATTTTATCATTAGTATTAAATCCTTGTAATTTCGCCTTCAAACATCAGCAAAATTTGATAAAAATATCCTCTGTTTTGGACACTTATCTGATGTAGCTTTGCAACTTGGCTTTGGAGATTAATATTTGTAAGGACAGTATTATAACACCGTAAAAAGTTTTTTAATTGTAGATACGGTATCTAAGCAAGATTTTGATAGGTATGCAAAAATTTGACTGATTCGTCCAGTTGAAAGAATAACTGAAATTCTTTCATAGAACTATATCCAAAGCAAATTACGTTCTATAAATTAACATTCTTATTGTTTTACCCGAATCTCAGCGAAATATGTTTTGAATTCAAGATCACTTTCAGAATTTACAATTCCAAAGCATACCTACCTACATTACATCAACCGATTGATTCATACTCGCGGAACAGTTGATTCTATTACTTCAGCAATGTAATTAGAAAATTATCAATGTTTTGTCTAAAACTTAAAATTTTATAACCATGTTCAATTTGAACCCTGAATATATCGGATTTTGTGTATATTAACCATCGAAATTTAACGAGAATTTGACAATTTTAACTCTTTTTTGTTATTCAATTACCTCGAGAATCCGAACAAAATCACAACGCTGACGTTGTGCTAACGTCCGATATTTTGATCTTTATGACACTAATGTCATAAGGATCAAAATACTGAAGCATTCACAGAGAAAAGAACATCGAAAGTTCTTGGCTTACTCATATTGTTTGTTATTCAAATTATTTTAGCCAATGTTTTTCCACGTGTCTGTATGTGTGACGAAGTTATTCAACCTTGACCTATTTCAGGGTTATCAAACGCAGTCAAAACGAAAATAGATTAGTCTAATCACACCAATTTATATTCATTATTCACCTACGAATTCCGGTCTAATACAATTTTAATCGTGTGTAAAAATTCTCGATACTAATAATACATTTTTCCTTTTGGCTATCGTTCAAAATTGAGGTTCCGATTTGGAAATGAATGCCAAATACCAGGGTTTGTTGAAATATTCGCTGTTTCAGTGTTTGTGTACCTACGCTGTTCAGAGATGGCGTTGATAAAATGAATTATTTATCGGTGCATAATTTTACTATTTAGATCATAATCGATTATCAGTGCACGTGTCTTACTCAAGGACTGATGAAGTAGCACAAGAAAGCTACGTAGTAAAGTTAAAATAGATTATAAACTATACTTTTTGGTGTTAGTATGCAACACACAAAACCTATAGTAGATATAAATAGTCGCGGAGAACCTAACGGGTAACCGGGGCTACGGCTCGACGTGCAGGAGAAGGAACAGGGTGGTTTTTAGTCACTAAGGGTCTGACACTCCCTCCCGCTTCACCCAGGCGGGAGCAGTCATTCGATGATTTTCCCCCCTTAAAAAAAATAATAGATATAAATATTGTGGCAAATAACAATAAATATAAGATAGATAAAGTAAAATCTGCAGCATTTTAATGCAACCCAGACGATCGTAATCTAAATAATCTTGAAGCTACTAAAATCGCTGTCAACAAATTGAAAGACAACAAAGATTAACAGATTATACATACAGAATAATCTGTTTTGACGTATGCATCTGCATACCTTGATAACATCAGGTTGAAAGCAAAGGTGACGATAACTGGAGGCCTATTTCAATTTTCCGAAACGAAATTTCGTTACGAGAAGTACTTTCTGTGCCAAACAGTAGTTACCTACAGGTGCTTATTTTATCATTTCACTAGCTACTTGATTCACTTAGATTCAGATCTATTAATCTTAGAGTGATGTGTATAATCTAGCGTCTTTCTATCTCCTTAGCCTTCCTCGATAAATGGACTATCCAACTTAAAATAAACTCAAATCGGACCAGTAGTTACTGAGATTGCGCGTTCAAAGTGTTCAAACAAACGAACTCTTTAGGTTTATATCACTACATAGCATATAGCAAAGTAGCTATCCGCCGTCTGTCTGTCCCTATGTATGCTTAGATCAACTACGCAACGGATTTTGATGCGGTTTTTTTACTACATAGAGTGATTCTTAAAGGAAGGTTTATATGTATAATACATGCATATTGCACCCGTGCGGAGCCGGGGCAGGTCGCTAGTAATGGTATAAGATTCGAAATTTTAGTTTTGAGGATGAGTAGTAGATCCCGTGATATAAAAATGAACGTAGGAATATCTGACGTTACACGGGGATCTTTAGGTTATCGAGATCATGCTAATGATGCGTGAATAGTGGTCGTGTTCGATCCTTTATCGACTAATTAAGCTGATTATGACTAGATTTGTTTTGATATTTTTTCTGTCAGACGTTAAGATAATAGTGCGGATTCTTTATTTATAATTAGACTGATATTTGCTTTGATACATGTTTGGTCTAAAAATAAGTGATCAGTTTTATGTAACCTGTTTGTTGTTATTGTCCAATCCTTTAACTAAAGTAAAGGATGTTCAATATCCAGCGGTGGATCGGACTATTCAAGCCAATGATGAATTAATTATAGCCGTGAAACACTAACAGTAACCATATAACTAACTAATTTGTAGATTTTCCATTAGTCGCACAAATCACACCACTCTAATCACGCTAAAAATTCCATCAAACACATAATATATTTCGTTGAAACGTCCTTGACCAACCGATGACACAGAACTCGTTTTTTTATTGACTGATTTGAACTTTTCTAACATTGCGGCTCGAACTAGTCTCATATGAGCAGAGATAGAAATAATTGAGACACCTTACATGATGCATTACCCTCATATATGTATTAGGTAGATAAAGGGTAATACTTATCATATAAAACAATAGTTGTGATACCAGTCCAAAGAGTGCCTTTTAATGTCGTTCATTGACTGGCCTGGTACCTATAATTTATCTACTACGCAGTTCTTTGCATCGACTTCGAACAATGACAAAAGTACTATCCTAGCTAAGTAATTGTTAAGACCCAAAACATATAATTGTCTGAATTGAAACTACTTATATTTGTCTATCCATACTCCGCAACTACAAAGTTAAAACATTTTATTTAGTTTAATTTTTGATGCATTATATTATCAATTTAACTCGTCGAATACCGGTTTTGTAGACACAATTATAGAACAATAGGTTGCGGTCACCGGTGACCGCTTGGTGTTTGACAGTTTAAAGCGTAGTCGATCTGGAGACGAATAAACTTATGTAAATATTGCAACCAATAATAAAAAACCGTATTCTAATTTTGGTATTAATGTTCTATTTCTCTTTGTTTCCAGGGCATCACCTGGGGCAAAGCATTCCTGATATCAGCGGACGACAACGCAGCCTTACCTTACCTGTCCACCAGGGAATGCAAGCTCGGTGGCTATAGAACCCACACAGTCAACTTCCACCCTCGCCCCAACCTATTCGGATCATCATCATCCTCCCTTAGTATCACAGATAAGAAGAACGCTCTTTTATACATCGCAGTGCCCGAAAACAAGCATTGGTTAGGCGCAGCCCCCTTACCTGACATAGCAAAACAAATTCTAGAATGCCATGGACAATCCGGTCCAAACGCAGAATACCTTTTAAGGCTAGCAGACTTCATGAGGGAAGAAATCCCCGAAGCGTTAGACGAACACCTCTTTTCCTTAGAAAGGTTGGTCAGAAAGTTCGCTTCTGACATGAAGATCTGTTTGAGAACGCTGATGGGAGAGGAACCTCAGGAGGAGAAGCAAGAAGTGAAAGCTGTCGTGCCCAGCTACCAGTTCGCGTCCAGAATTCCAGAGAAGAAATTACGTTGTGTCAATATGTGATATGAATTTAGGTCGCCATGGACAATTTGGATAATTGTAACTTTGTAGAGAAGGAAGATTGTCGTTGTTGTGAAGTTGACTGAGGTAAATAGTTGCGATATGACCATTATTTTGTAATGTATTGACATTTTTTGACGTAATTTCGTATTAAATCGGCCTAACTGCGCTATGTATGATAATACTCTTAAGTGAAATTTTGCTATGAATATTTTAGAACAGCTGCAAGAAATTAGTTTAAATGCTTGACTTTTTAACGCTTTTGACATAAATCGCCGTCACTAGTTGTCTTGATGTAGCCAAATCGGGTACTAGGTAGTAATGAAATTGACATTTTACATGTGATAAATGAATTGTTTTTGTAAAACTAATATAATAGTTTATTTTGTTACATTAATATGGTTAAAAACCATTTAAAATTCGTTTTTATTTCCAAATCAATTTGACATTTAAGTAATTAATTATTGCATAAAATCTTATTGCAATGAAACTGTTTTTTATTTGACTATGCAATTCAATTCAGTTTTATTAATATAATGCTTAAAATATAATGAATTTATTTTAACAACGCTAATAGCGTTGCTCATTATCAAAACCTAAGTTTTGAAATAATTTGACAAATAGAAAATATCATAAATTTTATTTATCATTTGTAAAACAAATGTCATTTTTTGTAAAGCTGGACTTTACTGAATAAAATATTGTTATAGTGATTGAAAATACTGTTGTGTTGATTAAATCGAATAAATAATATGACAATCGAATCTAAACGTGAAATAATTTGACCTTAAACTTCTATTAAATTATTTTCAAAGCAATTTACCTCTATAAGTTGCTTGTACAAAACTACAAATATTATAATGTATATTTGATTATTATAATCTTATAAATAATAAAATGCACGTAAATATTGTATAATTATGTTGATAAAATGTCATAAATTATTTTATAAATATCATTTTTCATTAAATTAAAATTGGCAGCATTAATATGTGAAATTTTATCTATTATTTTATGTCTTATTTTTCATTATATTATAATAATGTGTTATAACTATTTATCTTTAAGAACTTAGTTAATTATCGTTCATAAACAACGCACAAACAAACAAAACCAAATAATTATGTAATAAATAAGTATTATCTACGAATCTAGATTAATTTAAGTTTATTTTATGTGATTAAAATTATTATTAAAAATATGATTTGTGTTTTTCTGTATAAAATATGTGACTATGATTATGTTTCGCTGTATTGTTGATTTATTTAAATGTGAATACAAAATATTATAATGTTTATTTTTAAATGTATAAGTGTCGCTAGATTCCTAAAGACTTGTGATCAGTGATGAAGGATTGTAGAACTAATTATAAATAGTGTAATTCAAACAAAAATTGTGTACGTTTAATTAGCATAATTTTTGTATGAACATTTGTATGTTAACTTAAGGCGATGCCATAATGTACTGACAAAAATAAAAATGTATGAATATATCTTATTCTTTTATTTATCGAATTTTATTAATCTTCTATTTAACAAAGAAAAATCTATTTTATGTTATGGAATTAGCCGGTAAATGAGCAGACGGATTACTTGATGGTAAGCAATTGGCGCCGCCCATGGACACCCAAAACACCAGAGGCGTTATGCGTGCGTTACCGGCCTTGTGGGATTAGGAATTTAAGGATTATTTGGTATTGAGGAGATTAGGAAGGAGGCAATTGGGCCTCCGGTAACCTCTCTAACATGACGAAATACAACGCAAGCGTAGTTTCACGTCGGTTTTCTGTGAGGCCGTGGTGGTATCACTCCGGTAGGGCCCATTCGAAGCATAGCTCTCCCACTCTTTTTAGAAATCTGTGAATACAAACTGAATATAATAAATTAATAACAGAATGGACATAAAACAGTTAAGGTTGACTTTACTCGATCGACTCGAAAAATCAGGAATAATAAATATAGCGCGCCATCTATTGATAACGAAAATAACTATATCATGAATTCAGTAATTCAGTTTAATTTTGTGTTGCATGATGCACCGAGATTGGGTTCTAGACAGAACCTTGATGTCAGAATATTTTGTAATTTTTCTGAAGATGTGTCCAAATAGGTACGTCTTTAACAAAAATCCCAAGATTTCAAAAAAATTACAATGGGCCCTTTTCACCAAAAGTAAAATTCTCCCCCTATCCACCAGTCAGAAAATACAGTTTTACTGTGGGTTGACCCCCAGGCGGTTCGATAATTTGGTTATATTTTGGCTAGGACCTTTAGTTTTCGAAATTTTGCTTGATTTTCAAGCGATCTGGGACTGACTTATTTTGTCCTAGTAGACGCACTTGCGACCCCTATCACAAGAAAAACAATAATCTACAAGATGTTTCTTATAATAAAACGTCCTTTGTGTTACAAAACTCGATAGGTAATATCTCAAAATTTGTCTTTTTTAAATTTAGATCCATCGAACGCCATCTAGTAAAAATACTTGACACTTAACATAACCGCAATCTAGAGCCATCGGTTGGTAGGTAACGGTAACTGTCATTTGAGGACTAATTTAAGAAGTTCATGGCTTTTAATGTAGATGGCGCTGTAACAAGTTCCGGCGAGGGAGCACCTTTAAATGTAATCCTGTTTAGTGGTGGCACCAATGTTTGCTCATATCCCTATTTACGGTAAGGTATGGAACTAAAAAGGCTCTATACAGATGTATGGCGTACCAACATAATTATGGTGGAATACCTAATCCAACCCGTAAAAGAAAAAAAAATATGGGATACTAGCAGGTTAGGTATTATGATTAGGTAAATAAAAATACAAAAATTACATTCGCACTATAAATCTTTATTTCATTACATATTCTTACAACTCCATTTTGACCCACACATCCATCAAATATACATAAAAGGACCGCCAAAAGTATTTACTAGAACATTATTCAAATATTATATAATAAGGCACAATAGTCAAAAAAATAGTCATACAAAGTTCATAAATAAATGAATATAAAATATCTAAAATACCAATAACGGTGATGTCATAAAATTAATAAATATAATATCCATTATTTTAATACTTCATTACAACGTTCAAAAATTCCCAAAACATGGGTACCATATGACTGACCTGACCCAAAACTCATTCTTCCCTACTACAACTAAATCAAATTCCTATCTACTATTTACAAAAAATAATCTCATAATAATTTCTTTTGCTAATTGGTTATACGTTTTTTAATTAACTAAAAATAATAATTATAATTAAGTACAAAAAAGATTTGGTGGTCAAATGCATCCTATAAAAAGACTTGAAATCTAGTCTGTGGTTTTAAAACTAAGAAGTCGAAATGACTGGGTACTAGACTTTGTAGGAAAAAGATCCTAGACATTTGATCTAACGTCTACGTCACTATCTGCATGTTTATTTTGAAAAATACCTAAGTCAATGTAACAGCCATTATATTTTATAATAAATCCTAAAAAAATATTTTAAACTTACAATACTTATCATAAAACTCTTCTCCGTTCTTCAGAAATAGACTAGATGTTATTTTTAGTCAAAAATTGTGTTCCGTAACATCGCCTCATAAAATGCTTTAAAACTTCACAGTAATTATTTAATAATACATTAAAAGAAAAACACAAACTTTGGTACTAGAATATTTACATTAAACCCCAAAGGTAATTGTATTCCTAAATATATTTACACGCAAATATTATGCAATACTTTGTTTCGCATTTTGTGTAAAAATATTAACTTATGTCTAAATAAATACGTAATCTAAATAAGGTAAAATATCTTAATACAATATGACACGACCACGGAATATAGAATACAATGGAAGTAGCTTGAAACAATATTTCTGCCAGAACCGGTGTCGCCAAACTAATACATTTATAATTTACTCATACTATAAATCGGAAATTACGATTGGTTAGAAAAAAAATGGGCGTAAACGAAATGCAAAAAAAATATCATACGATATGCAACTTTAAAACCAATGTACTATAAATCAAAATAAAAAAGTATGTTTTGGACTACCAAGTACCGCCATTCGTCGCTAGATGGCGTTTAACAATGCCATCTAGCGACGAAAAGTGGTACTTGGTTTGAACTTTAACGTTGTAAGAATAAAGGTGATATTTGAATGGCTTATCACTGGCTCGAATGCGGGTCTCTACTCAGATAGTGATGTAGGATAATTCGATAAAAATAATATCGATAATATGAAAATGTGTTTTAAAAATAATATGAAAAAAAATATTGACTGCTATAGTGTGACAGTATTAAAATAATAAAATTAATATGTCGTTGATAACTTTTTAAACGTAACAAAAAAGGGTAAGTATTTATTTACATGTAAATCAAAAACCATTTTGTTCGTATTTTTTATTAGTTTCTTTTTTCAAAAAATCATTTTTTTTATTTCACATAGGCAATATAAGTAACAACTATTACATAAATTTTTACAAACTTTATATGGATAATGTGATAAATGAGAGGGATGGCGATAAGGATGACGGTGCTGATCTGCTCCGTGAAGTGAAGGTTGCTTCCAATCACGTCGGGGTCACCACTAAAATAATAATAAAAAAATAATCTAAATAAATGTTACATTACACTTGCATCGATATCAATCGATAAATTCAATATGTGATTTGACTACATAACTATTTGAGTAGCGTAGAACTGGCGAGAATGTTCTATTGAATGGAATAAATCCAAAATAAACTTTATCTTGAAGGCGTAAGGTTGATTTTGACTAACCGTTTTAGTAAATAATATTATTTTAATAACTGTTTTTGTAAATTGAAATAAAATAAGATTTCTACAAGAAAACAATAAAAATTGTACTTACCGATGATACGGAACACCTCCATTTTTACGATTTTTCGGCTGCTATCATTTTTACACGCCAAAACGGAACAAAACGGCATAGTTGAGGAAATATGTATTTGACACGAGACTAGCAACTCGACGCCATGTTCGAACGAGACTGAACTCAAATTTTGCCTCGAGTAAGCAGTGCACAGCTTAGCTGTGGCACGCGTGGCACGCCTACTTGCTACTTCCATTGTATTCTATATTCCGTGGACACGACACTCAATCGCGCATTTTCGTGTAGGTAGGTAATTTAAACTTCGGTCAAAACTTAATCCATTCGGTCATCTAACCTAAGTTCCATAATGAACTCAAAATATACTTTTGAGAATACTTTCATCTTTCTCTTACATCTATAAACATAGAGAGAGTCAAACGTATTATTCAAAGATCCTAGAAAAGGATCCTAGTTCCCATAGAGTCGTTATATTAATATACTCCAAAATTCAGTCAAAACAGTATAACTTTAGTTCTTTCAGACTGATTTTCAACATGCCATAACTTCTTCTAAAATATTACGTTCCATTCAAAATCAACCTATAGG